GGCGGGCGCGATGCTCGCCGTGGAGTAGAAGCGGGTTTTCAGCAAGTGCGGCGGTCCGCCGAGGCCCCTCTCGTGCTTTCACTATTATTTATAGTCTTGTAAAGAAGCGCTGCTAATGTGGGCACTTTAAAACAACTGTCTTGTCCTACCTTTCATCTTCAAAAGGGTTTTAAAGGCAGTCATTCAGATTTATTATTTTTTGTCCCGAAGGCAACTCGTACTCGAAACCTGCTGATAATAAATTTCGGCGCTGCGATATACAGCCCCCCTACGCTATGAAAATGCTGTTTTTCAACGTATCACAGATATATCGCAGATGAGAAGGGAGACAGGTAGAGGAAAAGAGGTAGCGAGGATTGTCTCGTCTCTTCCCCCCCCCCCCTTGGATGAGACAAGTTTCTATTTACTTGTTTTAAGGTGTGGTTTCGACGCAAAGCATATTTCCTCGTAGACACAGGACGGTGAGCTAAGCTCCCGCATGTTTCGCTGAAGGAAGAGAAAAAGGAGCGTCGCTGTCCTTTCGTGCAACACCGGCGGGATCACGTCGTATGGGAAAAGTACAGCACGTAGTGGAGCCTTGGAAAAAAAGCACAAACTTTCCACCTTTTTCCTGGCTTTGCCAGCTCTGCACTCCCAGTTTGCAGGGAGAGAGTCTGTGCAACCTCCCCCTCCCCGCATTTATCCCCTATCATTTACAGATAAAGCTCTTTTTAAAAAACGTAAAAAAGCAATTTTTTTCTGGTCAACCTGGCACTCCTCCTCTTAGCCGCCCAGTCCACAGCGAGTAGGATATCTCAGAGTCTGCATGTAGACAACTAATTACAGAACCAGGAAAGAGCTCAGCATAACATGTCTTTAAACAAACTGTCTGTTTAGCAATACGTAGCCGCTCGATGCTTGTTATTACTAGCGCAGATCCGACTACTCCCGTCAGCGTAGCATTTAAAGCCGTGCAGGCTAATTTCCATTCACTAACACTAATACGTATTTGCATTTAGACAATGAAACTTCAATGTCCTTTTCTGAAGACTCATGGCTGGCATTTCTTTCCTCACTCAAGCCCATAAGCAGGTGTTTTAACCAACAGATTTTTAAATCATGTCTTGTTTTTGTGTGAATGCCCTTCACATAACCCTAGTTTAGGGCTATACTTGAAACTACAGTTTTTGAATGCCCGTCATGTCGCCTGTATTAAGCCAGTTAGGCTCCAAACTACGTTTTTGACCCTCTGAAAGGACAAGTTTAGTATAAACTGCTTTTTAACAGCTTTTAAAATGCAAAACTAACAATACTACACTAGGCTGTCTGGAAACTAATTCTTCTAGATCAGGCACAACATAGGGCTAGACAGCATCTGATTAGTGCATATTCCAATAACTTTCAGACATTTCTGTGAATTGTAAGGCTGTAGTAACTGAAATGTTTCTGAGACTTGTGTACTTTAATTGCATGTTTTCCCTCCATCTCCTTATGTGAATGATAAACAGATAATTTCAAAATTTGGGGTTTTTTTGTTTTGCTTTGTTTTATATACGTACATCGTTAAAGGGTCTGCTCTAGCAAATGCTTTGGCAGGTTAATTAGAATGGTATCACTGAGTAACGCTTTGTGTATACTTTAAACATCTTCAAAAACATCTCTGAATGTGTTTTAATACAGATAAATAAATCCAATCTTATCACCATGTTTTTGTGCTAATGATGGGCCGGGTCCTATAGTCTTTTGTCAAGCAACAATCAAATGGAAGATTACTAAGGACTACATAATTTTTAAAGGGTGATGTTTTATTTTGACATTTCTACTGTCACTAACAATTAAACAGATTGACTCTTGTTCCTGATCAGGTTCACTGCTTATCTGACCCACACAGTGCTGCACTATTTATCTTACAGACAGTCTAAATGCACTTTTAGATCTAGACAGAGAAATTATCTAATAGCTCATTTTAAGAATTTCCATTGTTATTAGATTTTATACTTTTGCACAAATCATTATTATTTACAAATTTAAAGTCAGTAATAAACTGCCAACTAATATCATCTTCTAAATTAAATTGAAATGAGAATATGTTTGGAATTAAAAAAAAGAGTTTACAGCTATAATAATTTTGGAATGTTTCTGCTTCTTCACTGATTTTGCAGACAGTTAGAGGTGAATTTACACCTTAATAGACAAATTTGCAGCAGAAAAACAAGTAAGCTCTTTTCAATCCCTGTTGGGATTGAAAGTGCTTGGCCCTGTTTGTGTAAGTAAGACTTCTGGCAGACACGTTCAGGAGTTACAGTAAGTGGTCATTCCTCTGCAACACAATTCCCTGAGCATCTTATAAAAATAACAACTCAAGGCCTTTAGTTACTGTCCTGCAGAGCAAAAAAAGGAGAA